GCAAGAACCTATTATGTGTAAGGTAGTTGGGGTGCAGGTCACTAACTTTACCCGGACTCAACTATAAGTGGTCATTTCAAAGGGCACCCCAGGAAAAGCAAGTGAGAATTTGGGGCAGGAGTCCTAAACTCAGGTCCTTATCTAAATGTCCAGACTCTGGGTGTAAGCAGGGTCATTATACTGTAAAATGCCTAAGTGGCAACTCAAAATAGAGATTTTCTCATTATAGCTCAGAGAACGAGGGCATGGCATTCGCGTCAAAATTTATCAGGGCCAACAGAATTGTTCTTGGACCCAACTGAGGTAAACCAGGCTCTGTTTTAGTTTGTAAATCATCTTAATCTGGAGCAAACTGAAATGGAGAAATCTTAATATACAGTATACTAATGTATATTAATATCATACATTAATAAAGGATAGAGAGGCCATAGATTAGTGGGGAGAAAGTAACTCTAGCAACAAAGTGAATATACTTGCATGAGAAGGAGCGAGCATAGTGGTGAAGGTGGTGGGCACTGGAGCCTCTCACTTAGTAGCTGCACATGACCTTCAGCAAATAACTCAAACTCCCCCTGCCTCATTTTCTTCCTCTAGACAATGAAGAGAAACATGGTATATATCCCACAGCGTTGGAAAGCACAGAGCAAGTACCCACTATATGTAAGTTACTGTTACCATATGAATTAGGAAACAAGTTAAAACTGGTAAATGTCCCAAGGATTCTTGGACAATCTTTAAAACATGGGTAGGTCTTTAATCCATTTTGAGTTTATTTTTGTGTATGGTGCTAGGAAGTGTTCTAATTTCATTCTTTTACATGCAGCTGTCCAGTTTTCCCAGCACCACTATTGAAGAGGCTGTCTTTTCTCCACTGTATACTCTTGCCTCCTTTATCAAAGATAAAGTGACCATATGTGCATGGGTTTATCTCTGGGCTTTCTATCCTGTTCCATTGATCTATATTTCTGTTTCTGTGTCAGTACCATACTGTCTTGATTACTGTAGCTTGGTAGTATAGTCTGAAGTCCAGGAGCCTGACTCCACCAGCTCCGTTTTTCTTTCTCAAGATTGCTTTGGCTATTCGGGGTCTTTTGTGTTTCCATACAAATTGTACAATTTTTTGTTCTAGTTCTGTGAAAAATGCCAGTGGTAGTTTGATAGGGATTGCACTGAATCTGTAGATTGCTTTGGGTAGTATAGTCATTTTCACAATGTTGATTCTTCCAACCGAAGAACATGGTATATCTCTCCATCTGTTTGTATCACCTCTAACTTGAGGACATGGGGAGGGGGAAGGGTAACCTGGGACGAAGTGAGAGAGTAACATGAACATATATACACTACCAAATGTAAAATAGCTTGTGGGAAGCAGCTGCATAGCACAGGGAGATCAGCTCGGTGTTTTGCAACCGCCTAGAGTGGTGGGATAGGGAGGGCGGGAGGGAGACACAAGAGGGAGGGGATATGGGGATATATATATATGCATATAGCTGATTCACTTTGTTATACAGCAGTAACTAACATAACACTGCAAAGCAATTGTACTCCAATAAAGATGTTTAAAAAAAAAGTGAGTAGGATTTTTGTTTTGTTTTATTGTAGCCATTTACCTGTTATAATGCTGCTTTCTTTCAAGTGTGTTCACTTCGACCCAGAAACACAAGGACATCATAAACGGTCCCTAGGAAAACATGACATAGCAAAGCTTAGGGGGTCCCCATCTCACCAGATAGTTAATGTACATTTTTTTAAAAATTTTTATTTGAGTGTAGTTGATTTACAAGATTGTGTTAGTAGTTTATGTACTTTTTAACATGAGAATGAGATACACTGCAGGACGTTCTTTATATAATATTTTTGCTTATGTCTGGGACTGTCTGCCTACTGGTGACTTTATAATTTCTCTGTCAGAGACTTGGGAAGCTCACCTGCCAGTGCCCCAAATGAGAAGGGGAAATCGTGATGGTATAAAGGAGAGAAGCAGTGACTAGTAGGCTGCACTGCCCATGGTGCTCAACTGTGGACACATCTTTATTCACTCCGCTAAAAATATGTCAAATCAGACCTTGTAAATTGTTCAGCCGTGAAGAAGAGAAATCTCACCAACAGAGGCTCAGAAGCCAATGTGGATAAATTCTGAGTATTGCTTAAAGTTCTCTTGAGTAGAAAGTAGATGTTTTGCTAAGCCACCTTCCTGATCAATCTTTCACTTAGGAGTTCTGAACCTTTCACTTGCTGCCCTGTCCTAAGAGCATGTGCATTGTTTTCAGTGAAGGGGGTCAGGAAGACAGACCTCGCTGGACTGCACGTGAGCGGAGGCTTCAGACCCCTGTGCTGTGGGCTCCTATGCTGTGTTCCTTCCCTTACCACCCTGCACTGTATTTGCTTGTTGAATTGCCTCCCTCACCTAACAGTGGGCCCCAGAGGGTCACCATGCCATTCCCATTACTTGCCATCCACTCCACACTAGACAGGGCCTGGCACACAGTAGGTGCTCTATAAATACTAAGTGACCATGTGCACGTGAGCCAGGGAGTTCTCAGGAAGGACAGTTCCTTCCCGCCACTCCATCCCCCTGCCAGTGCTGAACAGACATTCCGTCAGGTGAGAAAACAGCAAGAAGCAGACACCCGAAGTCTGGAAGCTTGGCCAGGGTTAGGAAGGTTTCTGAGCCTAGGGGGCAATAACAGCAAGCACTCCAGGGGCAGGAAGAAAAGAAACGTTAGCTAGTATGTGATTGTCTTTATCGGTTCGGGCTGCTGTAACAAAAACCCCATAGATTGGGTGGCTTAAACAACAGAAACTTAGTTCCGGAGGCTGGGCATTCAAGATCAAGGTACCAGCAAATCAAGTGTCTGTTAAGAGCCCACTTCCTCACTTGCAGATGGCCATCTTCTCATTGTACCCTCAAGTGGTGGAGAGAGAGGCAGCTCTAATTTCTTTCTCTTATAAGGACACTAATCTCATCTTAGATGCTCCACCCTCACGACCTTATCTAAACCTGATTAACCCCCCCCAAAGCGCCGCCTCCTAATACCATCCCACTAGGGGGTAGGGTTTCAACATATGAATTTGGAAGGACACAAACATGCAGTCCATCACAGTGATGAAGGCTTACTCCATACCCGGCACCACAGTAGCCTCTTGGCGCGATTATTTCATAAGATCCTTGCACCATCCATAATTTAGGAATTGTTACCCTGCACCTGATAGGTGGGGAGACCAAGGCCCCAGGAAAAGGCTTCATAGGTAGCAGCCATGGATTCAGTATTCAAACCTAGTTCTATTGTGTTTCCGATACAGCCAAGCTGGTCCAGCACTGATGCCATTCTTACACCAGCCTTCATTCATCTTCATTCCCTCCCTGCCCACTTCTAAGGCGTGAACGGAAAGAGCACTAGCATGGAAGCCCTCAGCCTGGGCTCTCCTCACAGCTCTGCCATGAACCAGTAGGGAGAGAGAGGTTGAGCTGTATCACTACCTGGGCGCTGGTCTCCTCGGTAAAATAAGAGCTCAGGGGCTTCCCTGGTGGCGCAGTGGTTGAGAGTCCGCCTGCCGATGCGGGGGACGCGGGTTCGTGCCCCGGTCCGGGAAGATCCCACATGCCACGGAGCGGCTGGGCCCATGAGCCATGGCCGCTGAGCCTGCGCGTCCGGAGCCTGTGCTCCGCAACGAGAGAGGCCACAACAGTGAGAGGCCCGCGTACCGCAAAAAAATAATAATAAAAATAAATAAAAATAAATAAGAGCTCAGGTCAGATGTACTTGGAAAGTTACTATCCAGGCTGTCAAATCTGCAAGTCTGCCTGGAAAACATGCAGCACCCATGCCCCACAACTGCCTCCCACCCTCCTCATAATTGAGGCTACAGCTAAAAGAAAAAAAAAAATTTTTAACTGGATATTAGCTCCATTTTGATCCGTTTATTGACAAATCAAATGGGGGAAAAAAGGTCACCAAAAGGGGTATAAGGTCATAAATGTGGTTAACGGGGAATGGATACAGCACTGAGGAGGGAGAATGAGGTTGAACAGACCATCAGAGGGAGGAGGGGGAAAGAGGTATCTGCTAAAAACCCCACACTCACCTTTCAATTTGTCAGCTGTCACCCAATCATTCTTTCCTGGACAGAATTAACAGCTAGAAATGGTTTGAGGGCAACACCTACGTGGTTTATCTGCAAGATCTGGGAGATGAGCTGGAGGGAAGATGGGTATAAGATTTTGAGACCTTCTCTCACTTGAACCCCATCTGTGGTGAACAGAGAATCAGGAAGCTTAATCCTGGTCCCAGCTCAGCCACCGACTATCTCTGTGACTTCGGGCAAGTCACTTGCCCTCTCTGGGCCTCTTTCCTCGGCTGTAAAACAAGCTAATTGGACTCAGTGGCAGGCTCTATTCTGGCTCTAGCAATGTCAAGCGTTTTCGCAACTGGAGCTAGGCCAGGAGACTGGCTCAGTTTTGGAGAAATAAAACTACTTAGAGGCCCAGCCAGAGTGACCCAGTGCTGGTCTCTACCTGGACCCCCCCTCTGTCGGCAGCAGCAGCCATTCGGAGGGAGAGTGAAGGCTCACACACCTGTGAGAAACGCACTCTTGCAGCGAGTGATCTTTGCAGAGCGGCTCTGGGGGAGGCCGGGATTCTCTCTACCCAGAAGGCAGGGTCCAGGGGACTAGGGTGGGGTCTGGGGAATCCAAACAGAGCAGTCGTACACTATGTGGGGTCTGGGGATGCAGGGTGGGATTGGGAGGTAGAGTCACGCCAGCACCTCACCCTGTGCCAGACCACTCATTTCAGTCACCCTCCCCCTGAAGCCGAGGCCTGGGCCCCTTGGTCTAGTCGAAGCAGCTCTTCAGGTAGAGATGCCACACTTGGCATCGAGATCCTTGACTCCCGTGGGCTCGATATCATCGAAGCCGGGGTCAGGGAGCATCTCCATTGGCTGGAGTCAAATGAGGTAGGCTGACTCCGTCTCCCCCTTGCCCTTCCCATGCTGACGGGCAGGATGCACCTACAGGATGGCTGGCCGGCCGTCCTCCCAACCCAGTTCCGAGCCTCGAGGCCCAGGACTGCCAGCCTTTCCTTAACAGCTGGGCAGGCCTAGCCTGGCCTGAGAAAGTGAACCATGAGATAAGGGACGGGCTGCCTCTCCACAGCCCGCATGGATTTGGGTCAGCTGTGACAGATTCAAGGGCAAAGGGTCCCCAGTCAGGGACAACAATCGGGGGAGGAGCCCACAATCGAGGTTTCTGTTTGAGAGGGGAATGTGGTTTCGATTCTGAGGTCCAGAGCCACACTGTTTCATGGTAAAGACAGCCAGAAATAAGATTCTGGGCTACGTGTGTATATGTACACTTTCACTTGGGGAGAGACATTGAACCTGGCCTGCCCCAGGAAGGGATACCTGCCAGGGTAAAATTGTCAGAGGCCCACATCTGACAGCCTTTAGCAGATTCTCCCAATACCCCATACTGGGCATGTTTCCATAGGGACGCTGGTCCCCAGTTCAAGGCAGTTCAGCAAAGCTTTATGAAGTAACTTCTCTACAAAAGGCACAATGAAGGGCCCTCAGGGGGCTGTGAGAGCATTGCTGGGGTTAAGGGGAGGCCTAGCAGCAGAAGCCCAGGACCCTGGGGCGGGGGACTCCCCCACAGCTCCAGCTCACTGCTCCAAGACCTTGAAGGACAGCGGGGTGCCACTCTTGGCAAAGGTCTTCATCAGACTGCTAGGATAGATGCACCCAAGCTTCTCTGGGGTGGGGAAGCCCCAGACCCTGTAGAGGGACAAGCTCAGCCGGTCCCCGATATAGAAGGGACCCACCCACTTGGCACTGCTGCCGTTCCTGGGGAGGGACAGCAAGAGGACCTGGTCACCCACATTCCACTCCTTCTCCTGGCTCTCCCGCTTGAAACGCCTATTCTCAGCCTTTTCACTCGTCTTCTCAGCCACCCTCCAGTGGAGCTCCAGCAGCTCCCCCATCAGCTGTAGCAGGAAGACATCCATCTTGAGCCCTTCGATGTTTGCACTGCTCATCTCCCACCACAGGGGCTCGGTCAGCCTCTCCTCGCCCCCCGTCAGGATCTGGAACGGCGTGGCCTGGCTGCAGGAGGCCCTGAAGGCCAAGTGCAGCAAGGGCAGGGAAGCCGCCCACTTCTTGCCATGCAGGAAGATGAACTCCTTGAGGGCCCTCTTGAATTCCCAGTAGGCCCCGGAGCTCGTCAGGCAGGGGAACTGGAGGTCCCTACTCAAGGAGGCCACCTGGGCTCCCAGGGCCAGCCCACAGCTTACCAGGACATGGCGGGCAAACTGGGGGCCCTGGGCGGCCTCCAGCCTCACCGGAACACCCCACCTCGCGAACAAGTGCTGAAGCAGCACCTGGGCCACAGCCATGTGTGTGTAGGGCTTCAGCGGGAATGCCTCTACCCACCTGGTGTTGGGGTCAGCCACAATCAGCACGTGCTTGTGGCCCTCCTCGCTGACAGTGACTGGGCCCACCACCTCTATCTGCAGGTTGGACCAGGGGGCGGTGGACCTGAGGGGCCACAGGGACTCAATAACCTTCAACTCACTGCCTATGAGATTCCGGGGGATACAGAACAAGCAGCTCCTACAGTAATCTCTCACGTGCTCCTGCATGCCCGGCCACCATCCCAGCAACCGCAGCTTCTTGTAGGTCTCCTCGGGCCTCTGGTGGGCCCCCATGGGGAGGTCGTGCACAGCAAAAATCAGATCCCTCCGGAGCTGCCTCGGGACTACCCAGACCCGGGGCCTCTTGTCTCCCTTGAACATAAGCAGGCCGCTCTCTTTGTCGAGGCTGAGGGAGTTAAAGGCAGAACTGAAGGGTGAGGAGCTGGATAATTTCTGCCCGGCCTGCAGCTTGGCAATTGTATCAGCCAGGGTGCCGTCGCTCAGCTGTAATGCCAGCAAGTTGGGCCTCTTGCCCGTGGTACGGGGAGACACCACAGGGACTGGCACATCGTTTGGCAAATTCCACCACTGGCCGCCCCCCTGGGCCCCCTGCTTGGCCAGGGTGTCCACCGTCACAGCAAACAGGGAGCCCCGGTAGGAGGTTCGGTAGATAAACGGAAGGGATGAGAGGCCGGAGGTGAGGGCTATGATGTAGGAGAGCAGGCTTGGGTGAGGTAGCGGAGCCCCGTCGGAGGAGAGGAAGCCCCGAGCCCTCCAGAGGGGAAGGAGCTCCCAGAGGAGGCTGAAGATCCAGTTGCAGTGCGTGAGGAAAACCACGGGCAGGTGGGACTGGCCAAAGCGCTCCAGGCCACAGGCCACGGCCGCCAGGTGGGCATAGGTTGGGGTGTAAGGGGAGCAAGAGAAGGAAAGGGAGACAGGGGGGCTGGTGGGAGATAGAACATAGAGACCGAAGCCAGCACACCACTCATCCTCCCGGTAAAAGCAATACCCCGACATATGGATGCAGACAAAAGTGGACAGGTCGGAGAAAGGAGGCAGAGCCTGGAAAAAGCGAGGCATGGAAGCCGCAGGAGTCAGCAGCCGGTTTTCCCCCAGCAGGCCCTGGAGGAGGGTCAATTCCAGTGCTCTCTTGCCCTTGTCCTGTACCAAGAGGGACCATCTGATCAACCATGCTTTGGCAACCCTGTGGCCGTCCCCTGCCGCAGGGTCCACAGTGGTCCGGGAGGCATAGGAAAGGCCCAGGACCACTGGGGTGTCTCCAATGCAGCGGGAAAAATGCTTGAGGGCCCAGGCCATGGCATAGGGACTGTCTCCCCCTGACTGCGGGCCCTCACTCTCCTCGTCGGGGAGGAGGGGTTTCGAGGTATAGGCTACGGGGTGCTTTCTCCCTGAGCGCTCCTGGTACACAACAGCCGTCAGGGCCACTTGGCTCACCGTCACCTCCAGGCGGAAGGGCAGCTGGGGGTTGGGGGCCGTCAGGCAGAGGGCAGACACCAGACCTCGCTTCAGGGCCAGAAAGGCCTTCTCATGCTCCCAGTCCCACTGCCAGTCTGGCTTCTGCTTGAGGAGCCCGTGCAGGGGCCCCACAAGGGCTTCATAGTCAGGGATGACATCCCGGTGGGAGTCCATGAATCCCACGAAGAAGGAGAGCGCGGTGAAGTTGCTGGGGATGGTGAGCTGGGCCAGCTGGGCAAGAACCTGCTGGCAGGGAGCCTTCCCATCCCAGGGGATGCCCAGGGAGGGAGAAGGTACCGCCGGCAGGAGATCGATGTCGAGGGCTTCATCCTGGGGGCCGTGCAGGCTGAGGCACCGGAGTATTTCCTCTGAGAGGGAAGAGCACTCAGCCCTGAACACGGACATCAGTGAAGAGTCCAGGTCCTCCTCCTTCTCGGCCGGCTTCTGCATCTCCTGCTCTTCTCCCTGCCTCTCCTCCTTCTCCTCCCTGACTTCCTCCACATTCTGCAGGCTCTCCGGGGGCCCAGGGTCAGCCTCCTCACTCAGCTCAGAGACACTGGCAGAGCTGGGAGGAAGGGCCTTCCACACCTTCAGGAAGTTGCCAATGTCAGTGTCCAACCTACACCAAAACAGCAGGACAGAGGAGTCCGATGGAGGAGGTGGGGGACAGCCCGCCCCGAGAGGCCATCCAAGGCGAAACCACATCTGTGGAAGCCCACAGGGCCTCACCCCATTGCTGAGTTTCCCTGAGGCTGGGCCGAGGGCCCGCCTCCAACACGGCACAGCCTCAGAGAGGACCTGCCCGCAGATATTCCCTCCACTCCCAGCATGTGCCAGACGGCAGTGTTAGAGGTTCATCTGGGCTTTGAAGGCTTATCCAATCAAAACCTCATTGACCAAGTGACATGTCCAACCAGTTTTAAGCCAATGGTTTGATAAGAATTAGATGACTGGTACTTCCAATCGGACTCCAGGATGAGCCAGCCGGGGGAGGTCAAGAGAGGGAAGGAGGCTTGACATGGGGCTTGGGAGCGCACAGCACACAAACCTCGGCCACATCACTTTTCTTCAAACTGGAGAAATGGGACTGGGGGACCTGGCCCGGGAAGCAGTGCCCTGCCCAGAAGGTCCCTGCTGGGCCCAGGGAACTGGGAGGTGAGCAGCAAGGCGGCTCAGAGTGGGTGGAAGCCAGAGGAACTGAGTTACTGCAAATCAGTTCTGCCGGCAGCAGCACAATGACCTTGGGAAAGTACTTGAGTCTCAGATTCCTCATTTGTAAAACGAGGACAGTGGTCACGTATGTCTAACTCGAGCTGTGAGGATCAAAGTGGGTAAGAAATGTGGAAAAAGTTCTGCTTGGTATATACTCCAGACACAGCTCCCCCTGCACACAATGAAACAAGAACAAGGCGGTTCACCACAGCACTGGTACCAACAGCATAACATGGAAACTGTCGAACGGCCCTCCACAAAAGACCCCATAAACCTGTTGGGTACTCACATAATGGAACAGAGCATGGACATTAAAGCCAGCCACAGGAACTAACATGGCATACATCTGGGAAAAACAATAAAACATGGCGACAAATGCCAGTTGTGGAATGTTACACATAGTATTGAAGCATGTGTGCACGACTGTGAAACTGTAAAACCATATTGTAAGTGGTTTATGGATGTGCAGATGTGGGTGGAAGTACAAAGACCTGAAAAACTCAAATCACTCTGCTCACTATTAAGCACTAGGTAAACGTTGGCTAGCACCAAGGGGAAGCTTCCAGTCAGCCCCAGGAGCCGCTGGGAGGCGGGGTGTGGAGGGGGGTGCCTGGCCCATTACCTGTTTGGCTTCTTCAGAAACTCATCCAGGGTGGGGCCATCACGGCCCAGAGGATCGTCGGGCACCATGAAGAGATTCCCCGCAAAAGTGAAGGGCAGCAGGCTGGACCCGGGATGGAGGAGGAAACGTCACAGAGGGGCCCTTGACCCACCCACACCCCACTGCCACCTGGTAGCTCCACGGGGGCTGAGACCCACATCTCCTCCCAGCAGGTGCGGATGAGCACTGCTCCAAGGCCCTTCCCCCTGCCCAAACCCCTCCTGCCAGGGACTGCCCAGCACCCGAGGGGAGGGAACAGCCCAATCCCCTGGGAGCTGCCTCACCGATCTTTGACCATAAGTTTCTTGGAATTATTCATCAGGACGTGGAGCTGCTCGTTGGTGACGATGATGCCATCTGTCTCTTCCGCCAGCTTTACCATGAACCTGCAGGGAGAGGGGAAGTCGCTAACGACCCAGTACCCAGACCCTCACCTCCCCAGTCCTCTGAGAAAATGAACTTGCAGCTTCCTATTGAGGTGTGTTGGACAAAAACGCTGCCCTTGATAGCCGGGGAGCCAAGACTCAAGAGCCCATCCTCGTCTATGCAGCCAACTGGGATGTCCACTCGCCCCTGGGAGGATGAACTGGGATGCACATCCCCCAACTGTATATGCAAACACAGACCCCTATTTTACACATAGGCATTCACATACACAGGCTCAGACACGCACACAGAAAGCCATGCACTTGTCCACATCCATACATGCATTTTTACTTCTTCGGTTTCCACATCTGTCAAACTAACATAAAATACCTACCCTCTATTGCTGTGAGGATTCAACTGAATGAGACAATACACTAGACACTGAAGTGTCTAGTTCAGTGCCTGCCACACAGCGTGTATCAAGCATTCCATGGTTACTCTTCACCAATGCACAACATTCAGGTACATGCCAAGACACACATACATACATAAGGATATGTGTATACACGTATAAAAACACATACCTGAATAAACAAATCCATTTTTCCAAGGATCACTTCTCGAAAGAGGGCTGTGACCAGGAAAGAAAGCAAAGGCCACCCACTTCTCGGCATTCCCTGCGGAGTGCCATTCTGGCAGCCACGAGCATGCAATTCCACAAGTGACCAGCAGAGGGCCTTCTACAGGAAAGCTACCTTCCCTCAAACCCAGGCCTGAATTTAAAGGCACTTAAAGACCTTACCCAGGGGGGCCAGCTCTTGAAGGAAGGATGCCTGAGCTGCCCTGCCCAGACCTTCCCAGACTTGAAGGCTGAGTGGGCGCCAGGTCTTGGGGAGGAACAGAACTTCTCCCTGCCTGGCATGGGAGGTGCCTAAGTGGAGGCAAGACCTGGCCTGCTGGACATCGAGTCCAGCCCAGGGTCAGTGACCTGGACAGGGCCTTCTCGGCCCCATCAGAGGCAGCATCACAGGCACCCGTATGAACACTGGTCCTGCAGCCACGCTGGGGAGTGGGTGCTGAGGACTGGCAAGTAGGGAGGCATTCAGGCTTTAGCTAGGAGACAGGGCCAATCTGACTCCATTTTCAGAGCCCAGCCAGGGCTCCAGTCACATACAGCCACACACATACCTCCTCCCAGGGTCAGGGCTGGTGGGAGGAAAAGACTGCAGAAATTCCTTGAGAAAACCTGAGCTTCAACCCAAACTGGCACCTAAATCAGCTGCTGGGGGAAGCAGCTCGCTTGAAGCGCCAGGAGTCACCTGGGCTAGTCCCATCCAAAGAAAGCAGAGCACCCCATACTTCATGGGGGAGAAAGCCTCTTAGCTCAGGTAAATTGGGCTGCAGAGTCCCAAATTCAGGAACACCTCTTGGGTTTGAATAGAGCCGACCTTGGAGCCCTCTCCTCTCTGTGTCTCTCCCTCTGCCTACAGAGGGCCGGTGCACCACACCACCCTCTCTGACATGACCCTCTGACTTATTTGCTTCCATCTCCCCAGAGCAAATGCGGCAAGACTCCACCTGACACACCAGCCCAGCCCAAGCCCCAGGGCCCCACAAGAGAAGGCCTGCAGGCCAGCACACCTATAATCGTAGGTAGTGATCTTCTTGCCGTTCTCGAGCTGAGAGGGGGTGATTGAAAGCATCTTGAGGGAGTGTAGCTTCGTCAGAAAGTGGCTCTCTGGAGGTGAAAGGCAGAAGACAGCGATGGTCAGAGGAAGGGCTAAGTGGAAAAGGCCATGGTGGGGCCAGAAAGGCAAGGAAAAGTAAGGCATAGAGAGTAAGCCCACTGGAGGGGCTGGGCAGCTGGGGACAGCTCACCTCTCACCCTCCGGTTCTTCTTAAGCTGCCAGGTGGGTACAAACACAGTGACCTCTCGGTGTCCCCGGTTCCAGAAGTACTGCACTGCCATGGCAATGCCCCGGCAGGAGAAGAAGTGCTGGAGGCCATGCCTGGGGTTGGGGGGTGGCGGGTGGGGAGATGGGGGGAATTAGTGAGGTAGCAATTTTCTGCCCTAGGAATGGCCCTGCCTCTCTACCCCTCCCTCAGAGCCAGCCTAGGGCAGCACATCTGGCAATGCTAAGGCATCAGCACCACGGCACCAACAATGCCCCCTCCCCTCTCACCATCATCAAACAGTGAGCACCTACTGGGTCCACTCACCTGCTGTGTGCGTGTGTGTGTGTGCGTGTGTGTGTGTGTAGGGGCCTCCAGGGCAAAAGGAAGGAGAAGAGCTCAGTTTAGGACTGGAAGCAAACAAACATTTGCTGACCAGCTGTGTGCTGGGGGTGTGCTCAGCACAGATAACTATTCCGCTGTGTGGGCAAATGAAGCCATCCTGCATGCATTTCTGCTAGCACGTATACAGCAGTAAGTGCTGTGCAGAGAGAGTGATCTCTGAGAGTTGGCATGGTTGGGAAAAGCTTCACAGGGGAGATCAGTGCTGGACCTTAAGGGTTGGGCTAAACATTTGAAAACTGGCCTGAGGTTGACAGACCCCATGCTATGTGAGGCAGGCTGAAATGGGAAGAGCATGGGCCTGGGCAGTGAGCAGATCTGAACCCAAAGGCCAGCTGGGCCCCTTACTGGCTCTGGGACCTTGGTCAAGATTAATCGCTTCTCTGAGCCTGTTTCTGCTTCTGTGAGGGAAGGAGAACAGAAACCTACTTTTGAAGGCTGCTGGGATGATTCCATGAACACCACCCAGCATGCAGTAGCCCCTCAACATGTACCACTTCCCTCCCATCTTTCCCCCATTTGAACCCCATGTCACCTGTATACAGAGGTCAAGAAAAGACGCCCACAGTCTATCACCCCAGGGACACCCTGCCCGAGCTCCCCAGCATCCCCAGCCCACCCCAGGTCCGTGGCTACTCACACCATGGCCACGCTGCTGCCGTCAATGACCACTCGCCTCAACCCCTGGTTCCCGGGTTCTTCTGACAGGTTCAGCTCAAAGGGTGTATTCAGGGCCTCGTGGTACCTCTGGAAGCTGGTTACTGTGCTGTTCGCCTGTGGGTGGCGAGGCGGCTGCCTCGGAACCCCCTCCCAAGCCCCTAGGAGTCCCTCCACCTGAGGTTGGCGCTTACTACTGGGAGCCAAAGTGCCGCTGGACTGGGGCCCCTGCCTTCCAGCTTCCCCCTGGCCCTTCAGGAAGGAAGCACTGCCCCTCGACGAAGGCTGGCCCTCACTTGGGAATTTGGCTGCATCCGGGGCTGGCCCTGGGTCTGTGGGTGCCTTCTGAGCTGCAGGCATTTTCAGAGCTCGGCAAGTTTTGGGAGCTGTAGACCCTGTTTTAGCTGTAGTCCCAGTCTGGGCTCTGGGTGTTTGGGGACCCGCAGGTGATGTTTTTGCTGCATGCCTTTTCTGAGTTGTGGGAGTTTTGGGAGCTGCAGGCCCCATTTGAGCTGCTGGTGCCAGTTCACCCACAGCTGCCTTTTGTGCTGTGGGCACCACTTGAGCTGCTGGCTTTGTGGGAGCCAAAGGCACTTTGGGGGCTGCAGGTTCTTCATGGACTGCCGGCATAATCTGGGTTTCAGGCACTTTGGGGGCTTCAGGCAGCACGGGATTTGTGGGTGGGGTTTGAGCTGTGGGCACTGCTGCAGCCATGGGCACTTTGAGAGTTTCAGGCACTGTTTGAGGTTCAGGTCCTGAAGGAGCTGTCAGCCCCCCTTGAGTGGCGGGCCTCCCCTGAGCAGTAGGCACCCCTTGCCCTGTGGAGGGCCCTGGAAACGGCCTCTCTTCGGGTTCCTTACAATCCCACTGCATATTTCCTCGATCCCCCGGCTCACTTCCAGCTTGGAGTTGGGGTGTAGAGGTCAAAAGTGGCCCTATCTGTGGAAGTCCTGGGCTAGCCTTGTCCGTTACCCCTGAGCCTCCTGAGACCACCAATAAACTCATGACTTTTTTAGGGGTCTCTGGCCTTGGGCAATTCTGTAGGGCTGTCTCTCCTCCTGGCCCCCCATCTGGTCTACAATCTGGGCTTTCCACACTGGGCAAAGGAACCAGCTCCTTCTGTTTCCATCCCAGATTTAAGGGCAAAGGATTCTGCCCTGGCAGCTTGAACTGAATGGGGCCCAGTGGCCTCTGCCAGAAAGGGAAACTGAAGCAAGCCTGGGACAGGAGCCAGGCCAGGTGGAGAGAATGCAATTCATTGATCCTCCAGAAGGTTGCAGCAATAGTCCCCGGCCACAAGGGCCCGAAGGCTGGCGCCGGGATCCAGGACTTCCAGGGCGAGCACACACTCAGGGCTGATACTGGAGGCTGGAGAGGGAGCTTGTCTTCCCCCCTCCGGGCCTGCCGCTGCTGGGACGAGGCTTGTGTGCGGTCCGCAGGGTCCTGGCTGCTGCTGGCTTGTACTGACCCTTCCTCACAAGCACTGTCCGTACCACCTTGGTTGTTGGAACCAACCCTGGAGGAAACCCAAGTTTGTTGGAAAGGTGGTAAGGCCAGTTAGGTCCCAAACTCTTTCCCTGGGGTTGGGCAGAGAAGCCAAACGGATTCTCCAGAACTTACCGTACCAGCTGGTTTGCTGTCTCCAGCTGAGCGTTCTTGCCTGGGATGAGGGCCCCCATGGCGCCTAGGCTGGTTAACCTCTTTGAATTTTCTGGGCTCCCCATCTCCAGAAAAGGCCCAGGACCGTCTCCCGTGGACACCATGGCTGGACCTTCCTTCTGCTGGTGGGTTGGGCAGATCAGGAGCTCGGGGTCCGAGCGGGAGTCGGAGGTGCCAATACAGCCGAGCCACTGGATGATGTCCTCCTTGCCCGCAGCATCCCGCACCAGGCTCAGCAGCAGTTCCTGGACTGCTGCGGGCAGCTGCAGCAGGTCCCCTGCATACTGGTCACCACGGATCCAGACCAGAGCCCCAAAAGCCCGGGTCACCTCAGCTTCCCAGATGCCCCGGGGGGTGAGCAGAGGGGCAGGGCCCCAGCGCAGCCGCCCTACCAGCTCCTCCAGCCAGTTCTGGGTCATGATGAAAGACTCGGTCAGCCCGCCCACCATCAGGGAGCCCGGCGGACCAGGCACCAGGTAGGCCAGCGTGCTCCAGCACAGGCAGTCCAAGAAGAGGCCCTGGGCCCCAAGGAAGGCGCAGTGCAGGGCCGCCGGGTAGCGGACCTCCTTCCACAGCTCCGGGCTGCACAGGCCCTTCAGATACTCCTGAAGCCAGTGGGGAGAGCACAAAGGAAGCCAGCCGTTATGGGCCTGCCACTGGCACTCACTCCCCTCACAAGCACATGCCTTGCCCCTGCCCATCATAAGCCAAATGACACCCCCGGCCCAACACTCTCTCCCTGGTCCTGACTCCTCACACACTCATCTCTTTCCAGGGAGCTCTGACAGATGGTGGGGGGGGCCGGAGGGAGGGCGAGCACCTGGGCTTGGAGTCAAGGGCCCTGGTTCTAATTCCAACCTGACCTCAGTAGGTTAAGGTTACTGTGGGAAATTTGTCATCTTCTCAGGGCCTCAGTCTCCTCACCTATAAAATGATGGATTAAATTAGATACTCCTAAGGTCCAGTCCTACCCTGGCGTTCTAGAATTGTGAAATACCTGGGGGGAGGGGGATGGCACATTACTGAGTACCCTCCACGTGCCAGGAGCTTATGTGACCTGGAGCAGGTTATCTACCGTCCTTATGCCTACGTTTCCTCATCTGTAAAATGGGGATAATGGTTCCCACCTCATTAGGCTATTATGAAGCTTCAGTGAGATAATACAAAAGAAGTGCTTAGCTTATGCCTGGCACAGCCTATTCCCATTTTGCAGGCTCAGAAAGGCTCTATTGCTGACCCAAGGACACACAGCTAGAGGGTGACTGGGTAAGGACCACAGCCCACATCCATCTGACTCTGAAAGCAGAGCTCTTTCCACATCCTTGGGCTGACTACACAGTGACTCCAGGGTAATCCACTGAGATTCTGGTTAATCCCCCTGCAGAAGGTCTCCGGCACAACCTGTACCTGTAACCATGGTAACTCTGTTGCCCGGAGGGGACAGAGGAAAAGGTAAGTCGCTGGGCCAGTATCCAGGGAATCCCCACAGATACGCACAATGGCTGAACCAGAAGGGAAGTCTCTGGCCATCTGGGCACCAGGTCCTTGTGTTTCCAGGGCTCACACACTCAGTCTTTAGCAGTCACTGGGACAGGAGAGGTTGGGTTCCTCCACTCTATGGCTGAGTTCCACCAGCATGACCCCATGAGCTCCAAGGAACCATGGGCACTCCCTCTTAATCAGCCAACCCTTGATGACTGTATTAGCCCTCAAGTCCCTCCTCATGCCTGTGTCAGTGACAGTCATCCCTCTTCCCGCTTCCCCATGACAGTTCCATTACGGAACAAATGCTCCATTTTGGATCTCCAGCAGCCAGCCCAAGGACCGCTCTGGCCCCTCTGCTCGGTACCCAGACCATCCTTCCCTGCTCAGGCCTAAGCTTATCTCTGCCACATGGCCAGGCTATGAACATCCAACACCTTCCCCAAAGGGCCTAAGGTACACCCAGGCACTTAGGCCCATGTCTAACCCCTTTTCAGTCAGTCCAAAATCAGCTCAAACTCTGATAGACATCCCAAGCCAACCCCTCCCACCCAGAACCTCAGCTGGTCTGCACTGCCTGGCAAGGGTGAATCTGACCAGGTGGAATAACTCTCATAGACCTGAACAAACTCCCCCACCCCATGCACCCCACGTTCTAACTACATGAAAACAATATGTAAAAATGAAGAGATGTGCTCGGGAAGAAGATGGTGGGTGGTTTCTTTCTCCTTCTGCAAAGACCTTAAAATATTCATTGTTCCATTAACCGTCCATATTTTTAAACAAAAAGATATATTGGAAATGAGATAATTTTCAAAATAATAAATCTGAACTGCTATTTACTGAATACTTACTATGTGCCAGGCTCTTTACATACGTCAGCTCATTGGTTCCTCTCTCAGCCCTATAACGAAATTACTATTATCCCCATTTTAGGTGAGCAAGGGAGGGCACATGTCCGAGGTCACACAGGTCGTAGGCTGGGACACTTAGGCACTCTGACTCCGAAGTCTGGGGTCTTAACCATGATGCTGTCTATACTTTAGAGCAAAAACCGATATGGAAACAACAGGCATTTACATCCAGAAAGTATCTGAAGCAATTTTCCTGCTTAAAGCCCACCCAGACCTTTTTCTCCAAAAGGAGAAAAAATAGAGAAGAGGCAGGAACAAAATAAGCACAGAAGAATGTGCATTTGTTAAAATATGTTGCCCAATGTCCCGCAAGTCATTTTTCAACTTGTAAGTTAAATAAAAACAATACCACCAGGTAGTTTACTACTGCTCTATACTTGATCAAGCCTGACTTAGGATTCTCCTTTCTCCTAAGTCAGTTGCTATACATCGTCTGCTTTCCAGAACCACCCCAGATTACACCGCAGAATACTCAAAAAGCTCAAAAAAATGGCAGCACCAAGAAACTCTGGAACTGGGAATGAAAGAGAATATTTTTTAAAAGGTGAACTAAGATAAAGTTGTTTGAGGAGCAGTGAGACCTGGGAGCCCACCCACCCCTCTACACAAAGGCTGAGCAAGTACCTCCCTACCCACTGGAGTTTGTTCTGTAGAAAGTAAAAGACAAGGTCTTAGGATCAGAGGTTGATCAGCATACCTGAGGGTGTGGGTACCATAAAAATCATGAAGGAAGAGAGGAAGGCCAGTAGTGAGGTCTACAGTGAGTGCTGAGCGGAGAGAAACTCATTCTTCCCATACAGAGACTCCGCAATAGTAACTGATGATGGATGAAGACAGGTACTCACACGGGGGGGTCTCACTGGGGCGCCGCAGAGCAGTGGGGGAAACTACAAACTTCCAGAGAGAAAAAAAACTTCTCATACAAAGGACCAGGGACCAAGAATAGCTTCAGATATCCCTAAAGCAAGAAGTCAATGGGTTAAAGCCTTCTCATTTTTTTTGGGGGGGGGGTACGCGGGCCTCTCACCGCTGGGGCCCCTCCCGCCGCGGAGCACAGGCTCCGGACGCACAGGCCCAGCGGCCATGGCTCGGGGGCCCAGCCGCTCCGCGGCACGTGGGGCCCTCCCGGACCGGGGCACGAACCCGCGTCCCCTGCATCGGCAGGCGGACGCCCAACCACTGCGCCACCAGGGAAGCCCAATGCCTTCTCATTTCTGAAGGAAAATAATTTTCCATGTATAATTTGATACCAGCCAAATTGTCAATCAAGTGACCATCAGATATGCAATGTAGATATGCATGGATGCAAGCCCAAGAGTTTACCTCCTATTAAAACCTTTCTCAGGAAGCTACTAGAGAGCATTTTCCAGCAAATCAAGAAAAGAAACCAAGAAAGGAGACCCAACATATAAAAAAAGCAAAGAGAATCTCCAGGAAGATTGTGGAGAGAAATCTCAGAATGTATTCATCCATTCAATGGACACTACTGAGCACCTACTACCTGTCAGGCACTGTTCTAGGAGGCACAGAGGACGACTAGTTCAGATTGGAGAGTGGGACTCCAGAATCAACATGCTTGTTTCGGCACCATCTTTCTAACTTGGTGACGCTACTGAAGGACGTGCTCCACCAACTCAAGACAAAGACACAGCGTCCAGGAAACGAGGTATCTAACAAGGAAAAAAGGCAAGAGGATGCCAAGAATGACAGCAAACGGGAGTCTCAGGATGACAGCTGTGCAGTCCTGACCAGACAGAAAGAAGGCTGCCCCCAGGAAAAAATCTGGAACTGACAGACCATCTTGAATCGATAGATTGTCCTTGTAGAAAATTGTAGTGAGAAGCTACTGAAAGTTATAAGAATTAGCAATGGGTACAAAGGAAAACAAGCAAACTGGAAAGGAGTTGAGTTCTTTACCTCAGGGAAATCGAAAAGTAAGGGAGAAAACCTAATGATAGGGGCTTCCCTGGTGGCGCAGTGGTTGAGGGTCCACCTGCCCATGCGGGGGACGCGGGTTCGTGCCCCGGTCCGGGAAGATCCCACATGCCACGGAGCGGCTGGGCCCGTGGGCCATGGCCGCTGAGCCTGCGCGTCCGGAGCCTGTGCTCTGCAGCGGGAGAGGCCACAACGGTGAGAGGCCCACGTACCGCAAAAAAAAAAAAAAAAAAGAAAACTAATCATAGTACACTTCAGCACTTAGATGTAAATGATATTTGCAAGGGCATAATGTTGCAAATACTAAATACGGATTTAACAGAAAAATGAAATATAACTATACTGGGAAGAAAAAGGGGATGGCAATATAAGGGAGATAAATCCTCATCTATAATTAATAGAAAGTAAAAAGATATCTAAAATTGATTCATCAAAAGATAGAGTAGCTACATATTTTTTTAGGAATGTGGAGGTGTAGAAATGCCAGAGCAGATATTTTCTACGGGGAAGAGCACTGAAGAGGGAGTTGGCAGGGACAAGGCAAGGAATCACTGTGTTATACTGTGAGCTTTTTAAAAATTATTGGACTTTTAAATTACGTATTATTTTGAAAAAAGAAAAATTAAGTTTAAAATAAAGGACAAGTATAAGGTGCCCACAACACAATTAGACATGCTGGTAAGTGTTTAACAATCATCCAGTTATGGGGGAAATGGTCCCAATTTGTAGCATTTGCCAATTTCTGCGGTGTAAATACTCCTTCCATGGTTGATTTCAAACTACCAACAGGACTCCACTGGCTCAAAAACTTCCTGAATTTTCAACGATGGGTCAGCAGGAGTTGGTTCCAGCACAACCCTGGCCACTACCAGCTTCCATGGTACTGCTCAGTCATTGTGGGCCAGGGACAGATCAACTTCCACCTGACAGCAAAGCCCAAAGTCAGCAAACCACACCCTGTCCCACAGCTCCCCACCCCAACCTCTGGCTCCCCATCACCTCCCTCCCTCCATCGTGTCCAAAAAGGGGAGAATCAAGCTGTCACCTGTCCCCTCTGCGCCGGACCCTTCTTTACATCGTTGCCAAGGAGGACAAAAGAGCTGAGCAGGGCTCGTCTCTGGGCAACTTTGATCATTAGTAAAAACCCTCCTCTCCACTCTGAGGTGAGGCTGATTTCACCTCAGAAAGGCCAGGCCTCCCCAGTCTTTCTTTTTCTGCCTAGGGATGTGATTTCCAGCAATGTCTTCATTATTTTTTAAATCCCACCACAAGAAAACTACTTAAAGGCACTTCCGAGTTCTACAGAGTTTTTCCTGGAAAACCAGTGCATATAATGTAGAAAACACCCAGGCTCTTCTCCAGAGAAGCCTGTATCCTTCTTGACCCCTCCTCCCCTCACAGACAAGACGCCCCCATCCATCACCCCTTCCCCATCCTACAACCTCCAGTCTCACTGAGCCCTCTCTGCCAGCTGGCCTGCGTATATTAGGCCATTATCCAGGTGTGTGATTCTGTGCCCCTACAGCTGGGATTGGGGTCAGCCACAGCACCTCCACATGGAAACCACAAGACATCCTTATACATGGGAAATTTTCCTGTATCAGATTGTTGGGCCTTAGAAAACATTTAATCCAAGCTTCTCACTTTGCAAACAAGGAGAGCGAGACTCAGAGAGGGAAAAGAGCTCATTCTAAGTTATACAGCTAGTTACAGAAACAATAACTGATATCTCTACTCTGTAACTCTCCACATTTGTGCAAGTCCATAAGAACGCCTTATTTCAATTGACTCTCACAACTGTGCCATGAAGTGGATATTATCATATTGTTTTATAGATGAGGAAATAGGCTTAAGAGAAGGTCAATGATTTGACCGAGGTCAGCCAGTTAGAAGGTAGCAAACCCCAACCTCCAACTCTCTCCACCACAACCCTCTGTCCCAGCAGTAACTTGGTGACAGCAAATTGCACCCAGATCTCCTAACTTCTGGAACAAAACCTTATCCTCCCCACCTTCCCTGCTCTCCTGCTCCAAAAATCTCTTCTTTCTGCTCATTCTGTGCAATAAGGGAGGGAGTTACCCAGAACCCCTCATGTTGTTTCCATCTTAAATCATGCTTTTCCCCGGGGGAAGACAGAGGGGAAAGAGATGATAAGATGGGGGGAATGGGGCTTCCCTGGTGGCGCAGTGGTTGAGAGTCCGCCTGCCGATGTGGGGGACACGGGTTCGTGCCCCGGTCCGGGAGGATCCCACATGCCGCAGAGCGGCTGGGTCCGTGAGCCATGGCCGCTGAGCCTGTGCGTCCGGAGCCTGTGCTCCATAACGGGAGAGGCCACAACAGTGAGAGGCCCGTGTACCGAAAAAAAAAAAAAAAGATGAGGGGAATGGAGAAAGCCACTGGTTACACTAGCAGGGCCTGAGGTGTGAGGGAAAGCCGGTGGGCCCAGGAACTCTGAGGCAGCAGTGGTAGCAGGAGTAGCCAAGCCTGGAGAAGCTGATGGAGGATGTAAGCGGGGGACAGGCGAGCTAGACACTTCAGAAAGCACCAGTCCCATAAAAGGGTGAGCAGGTGTATTTCAAATTAACAAAAAGATTAAGAACCCGGGACTTCCCTGGTGGTGCGGTGGCTAAGAATCCGCCTGCCAACGCAGGGCACATGGGTTCAATCCCTGGTCCGGGAAGATCCCACATGCCGTGGAGCAACTAAGCCCGTGCGCCACAACTGCTGAGCCTGTGTGCCACAACTACTGAAGCCCTCATGCCTAGAGCCCGTGCTCCTCAACAGGAGAAGCCACTGCAGTGAGAAGTACGTGCACCACAACGAAGAGCAGCCCCCACTCGCCACAACTAGAGAAAGCCCGCGTGCAGCAACGAAGACCCAATGCAGCCAAAAATAAATAAATAAATAATAAACAAAATCACTCTTACTTAAAAAAAAAAAAAGATTAAGAACTCAAAGCAATCCAAAGGCTCCTCTTGTTAACCTACCCTATGCCAGCTACTGAAAAGTCTCCATCTCAGGGGTTCCTGCACATCTGCTCTCCAGGCAGGAACCCCTCCCCTCCCCCAGTACCTCTGTCAGAACTGGAAAAACTGCTGACGAAGCAGCCTAACAGAGGGGCTGAGGGAGGAACTTTCCAGCCTGCCTGCCCACTGGCCAGCGTGTTCTGGGCCTCCCCCACCCATGGCCTTGACCAAAATTAGGATGTTGATAGAGACCCCGCTAGGGAAGGGGTGTGTGTTGGGGTGGGTGGGTGCATGGGGGAGCAGGTGGTCCGGGGCTGAGGGAGGCTATAGCATTCCTACCAGGAAATGATAAGATAAGGGAATCTAGGGGAAGAGGGAGACCTTGGCCACGACTGGGGAGTCAGAGGGAACCTGAGAGGCCCAAGCAGGAGAGAAGCTTATGAGAGAAGCCAGGGCACATGCGATAGAGGCACACTGTGACCTGGCCTGTCTAGCGTCCAGCCCCACATAGCAAGCCCTTTCATCTGAAAGCCCGCAGCCCTCCTCCCAGATTCCCACCCATCCCCTAGGGCTGCTGCCTTCCAGGGCCGCTGCAGCCCCACCTCTGAGCCCCTGCAAGAGGCTGCCTAGAGCATCAAGAGTGGGGGGTGCGGAGCCCAGAGCCCTGGGTTCTGGTCCCAGCCCCTGCCACGCCCCACCTACCCGACCCTGAGTGCTCAGGGAGGCCCCTTACCCTCTCCAGCCCCCAATTCCTCATCTGTAAAGTGCCCACATTAACCTAGAAGCATCTTTAATGGCCCTTCCAGTCCCAGCACTCTCAGAGGCTCCAAGGAGCAGCCCAGGATTTAAGGAGACTTAAAAGGCGGCAGAAAGACCTGGGCCTTCCAGGCTCTTGGTGGAGAACAAAGAGGTATGTTGCCCAGACTACAGAAATACAGGACCTTAAGTTGCTCCCCAGATGGAGGAGCAGGCTGTAAGTGCGGGGCCCTGGCCAGGGAAGGCTCACGGGGGGGGGGGGGGGGGGGTCACACGACGCCGAGCCTCTCTCAGCGCACTTGAGGGACAGAAGTGACACGCAGGAGAGGGGTGGGGCAGAAAAGAAAGAAGGAACCAGAGGGAAGGACCCAAGGCTGCAGATCTGGAAAGACAAGAGGATGGCCCAGTACCTGCCCGCCATACTGCCGAATCCAGGCCGGGGGACCTCAGGGGACCCCTGAGGGGGCGGGGGGGGCGAGGAGCGAGAGAAGGGTCTGGCTGGAAGCAATAGGTGGGGAGAAGCTGTTTACCTTGGCTCTGCCCATGTTCTCCCTGGGCCCCTCGAGCTGCAGCCAGAAGTAGGGGGTGTCCGGGCGGCTCTGGAAAGCGTTCAGCTTGACCCTGAAGATGCGCTGCACTTGCAGCCGCTGCCGCTGCACCCGGGGCTTCGACTTGGTCTGCACCATGAACCATTCCTGCGCCGGAGGGTCGCCCCCGGACAGGAGCATGGCTGGCTCGCCCGCCCCAGGAAGGAGGGAGCCGACAGTGCCACCGGGGTCCCCCGGCCGAAGGCGCCTAAGCCACGCCCCCTCCTCCCGGCGGCGCGCCCCCGCCTTGGCGCGGGTCCTCCCTGCTCGCGGACCCACCCGCCGCGGCTCGGGCACCCTTCCTCCAGCGCTCCGAGCCTTTCAGCGGCGGCTCCCGCTACAATCTCTTCCTGCCAGGGGTTACAGCCGGGGGTGGGACCAGTCGGGCTCCCTTCCCACCGCCCCCAGCCTTCCCCCTTCACCACTGCGCCAGCCCCTCCGGGATGAACTTTAGCTGAGTCGGCTGGGTAGCTTCAAGGGGCGCGGAAGGAGGAGGGAGGCGGCGGGGATGGGGGTGGGGAGGGTCTTGGAAATCTCTGCCTCCCACTCGAGTTTTGGGCCCAGAGCCAGAATCCGGGGGTCAAAGTTAATCTCCTTCCACATTCCCCTTTCCCCAGTGGGAGGGAAAGGGAAGAAGGGGCACTCGGGTGGGGGGGAGAGGGGGTATGGTTCCAGGGACCCGGCCTTTCTCTCCGTTCCTCCTGCCCACCCTGACGCCTCCCAGGCCTCCCTGGAGAACAGAGACCTGCGCCCCTCCTTCCCTCTGAGGAAAGGGTTAAGGGAGAGCAGGGTGGGGAGCCTGGGAGGCTGGGGCCTGTGGAAACTCTGGGCCGGAGACCGAGCAGGAAGGAGAGGGTAACAGCACCGCCTCCCCACTCCCCATCCCCAAGTCTGGGGACAGCCCGGGGCTGGCAGGCTGCCCAGACCCTCCCGAAGCCCCCAGGGCTGGAGGGGCGGGGAGAGCGCCCGAGTTTTCAGACTTGCGTTGTTTATGAAAGCCTTTTTGAGCAAGTCTGAGCTAAGCCAAGAGGGAAAGCTTTAGGATAGGAGTAAGGGTCTGGTTGGTGACAACCTATAAGGGTTCCCTCAACCCCCGAACCACAGCCAGTCCGCTGCTTGGCATCGGTGGTCAGACACCAGCCCTGGACTGGGGGACCGCCTCCAACACCCTGCCCTGGAGGCATCCCCAGCACAAAGAACACGTTTTGCAGCCCTGTGGCCTGAACAGAACCTGGCTCTGTGGAGGGCAGAGTCTGCATCCTGGGCCTCGGTGAGCTTTCTTTTCCAAACCCAAACCCAGAGCTGCTGTCTGACAGGGACAAGTGTACCTATGGGGACAAAGGGCAGTGGACTTCAAATTCGTTCCGCCCTGGCACATCTGGGCTGCAGGGGCCGTGGCATGTTTGTGTGCAGGTGCAGGCAGAAAGCCAGGAGCACCCCACTGCAAGGAAAGGGTCCAGCTGGGGCAGGGGAGAGGGGCTCACACTGAGTCCTAGTCTGGCCTGGACTCAGACCCTCTTGTGCCACCCACCTCCACTCCTGCTTCTTCTCCATAGATTGAAGTCCAGAAAAAGAAAAGGGTATCTGTGTCACCTCTGGCTCCAAGGTCTGCCCACTCTGGTGTCCCTGTGCTGCCCCTCCATAGCGCCTTGAAGAAGAAGACCCTCTGGAGGAGCTTCCATCTGTCTCCAGTCTTCCCACATCTAGCTGTTCTCCCTTTATCAGAAGAAGCTCTTTCCTTATTGCCTTATTGTGCCTCAGTTTCTCCTCTGAAGCAAATGAGAGTCTCGTACCTGTGCTCCCTACTCCTTCCCTGAATAAGCACTTATGTCTTGTTGCCCTCTTCCAACTGACGGTGGACTCCATGCGCAGTGGCATCTTGAAAACTCTCAGGTTTAACCCTATGTTCAAAGAGGCAGTGTGGAGGGTGGGAAGAGGTCAAGCTTAGGCATCAGGTACTTGATAAGTGGGCAAAAGAGGGTAATTTATTTGAACTCTTGTGCCTCCATTTCCTTAGCTCATAAAAATGGGGACGATGGTATCTATAACACAGGTTACAAATCAGACCACCCAGGTATCACACCTGGCACACCACGTGGAACAAAGTAGGCACCCAATTCATTTCATTTTCCCTTCCTTGATCTTGTCTCTTCTCCCCACCTCACCTCTGGCCAGTACATCACAATACCTTCCCAGAGGTCCCCTCTTTCCCATCCTTTTACATCTCACTGTCACCAGCCCAGCTCCTAGATCAGCCTCTCCTCACCCTTCCTGCTAACCCATCCCCCCCCACTCCTTCCTCTCACCGGGATATAGCAGATTTAGTTAGATATCCTGGTTCCAGTCCCAGCTTTGCCCCTGATGAGTTGTGTGCCCTAAGCAGGTAACTAATTCCCTTGACCTCTCCAGGCTTCCTCATCTAAATTCATTCATAGGGCCAAATTCATTTACTCACTCAACAAATTCAACACATATTTATTGAGTGTCTACTATGACCCAGGCCCTGGGAGTATAGCACTGACTAAGAAAGATATTTCCCTGCCCTCATGGAATGGGTGAAGAAAGAAGAAAACAGCTCTGATTTCAGGGAATGAGAAATGCTCTGCTGGAAATAAAACAAGGTGTGGTGATGGAGAGTTCCCTGAGGGGGCCTCTCTGGTGAGGTGATATTTCAGCTAGAGGGAGCGCAAGAACATGGCCACTGAGATGGCAACGCACTAAGCTCTTCACAATTTTTTATCCAACTCTCTCCCCAACTCAGATACATTTAGTGAATCCTTGCCTGGAATATTAGGTTAAAACTTGTTGTGTTGGAGGCCTTCCTCTCCCAGGTCCTAATCTACCTTCTCAACCTTGTACAAAAGGATCCCAGCTCAAGTCTAAGTAGAATTAGATCTGTCTAGGCATGTCTGGCAACAGGGTAGCACACCCTGCCAGGAGCCTGTTTGCCTAAGGAATGAGAAGCCTCCAAGGAGAAAGCTCATCTTGGTTAAAGGAGGGGCCTTCCCTGTGAGACTGACAAGAGTAATAGATTCTTATCCCTCCAAGGCTCTACTGGGAGAGGAGGTTTTGTCTCTCAAATACCTCCCCGCTTAGCCCAGATACACAACTACCCCAGTTCCTGGGATAGAGAGTGGGAAGCCCTGGGACCCAGCTGGACTGCTTGGGACCTTTGTGAGGGAGTGACCCAGAGGGGAGACAGACTTCTCCTTGACTGCCAGAGTGCCTGAGCAGCTTGCATTCCTGGAAGGCTCCCATCAGAGCAGAAACGGCTTCCCAAAGGCACATGAAATGGTCAGGACTTAAGGTGGTACAAATGAGCAGGTGGAGACAACAGCCAAGGAAACTGAAGTTAAGCGGGGGACTCCCCATATTGGTCAGGATCTGGGTAGGTAGGATCTCAAAAGTGGTGGCTCAAGGAAGTTTAAAGAATGGATCTTTTAGGGCTTCCCTGATGGCACAGTGGTTAAGAATCCGCCTGCCAATGCAGGGGACACGGGTTCAAGCCCTGGTCTGGGAAGATCCCACATACTGTGGAACAGCTAAGCCCGTGCACCACAACTACTGAGCCTGTGCTCTAGAGCCCGCAAGCCACAACTACTGAGCCCACGCGCTGCAGCTACTGAAGCCCACACGCCTAGAGCCTGTGCTCCACAACAAGAGAAGCCACCGCAATGAGAAGCCCGCGCACCGCAAGGAAGAGTAGCCCCCACTCACCGCAACTAGAGAAAGCCCGCGCGCTGCAACAAAGACCCAACACAGCCAAAAATAAATAAATTAAATAAAAAAAAAAAAAAAAAAAAAGAATGGATCTTTTATGGGGATGTGAGCAGGATTAAGGAAAACCTATAAGAGACTGATGTAGTACTCTCAAGCTAGTTTAGGGGAAGCTGTTAACACCTGGAAGCCTAAAAGGGAACAGGGAGGAAGTGGTTACTGGAGCCAACCAATGGGCCAGAGCTGGAGCTGTCGAAGGCCTTAGGGAAAGATGCACAGCCACTGACAAGCCGGGCCAGTGGGAGGGAGCTGCCTTCCAACTTCCTGTCAGTGCCTAGCCCTGGCCAAACCCCATCAGAAGCCCAAAGGGCAGTGGGGTCAAGGCCAGCCACTGAGGTCAGCCTCCAGGACACAGGGCAGGGTGGAGAAGAGCGAAGAGGGAGACTGGAAGGGACACAGAATAGTCGGCATACCCCTTCGTCTCTTAGCAACCACAGGCTGATGAGGTGTCAGGAAACTGTAATGATACTAATCTCCCCTACTCTTCTCCCCACCAACACTTTCTCTCTCGGGAACAGGGATGAATAACCTTGCACTCCTATTCAGAACACAGGACTTACAAAGACTAACATGCAAACCCCAGGTCTGTCACTGCATCAGTTTCTGGGGGGCTGCTGTTACAAGTTACACCACCTGCAGGCTTAAAACAACAGAAATGTATTCTCTCAAAGTTCTGGAAACTAGGAACTTCCCTGGTGGTCCAGTGGTTAAGACTCCCCGCTCCCAATGCAAGGGGCCAGGGTTCGATCCCTGGTCAGTTAGCTAGATCCCGCGGGCACGACGAAGATCCCACCTGCCACACCTAAGACCCGGTGAGGCCAAATAAATAAATAAATATTTTTTAAAAAGAAAAAAGTTCTGTAAGCTAGAAGTCTCGAATCAAAATATACAAAGCTGGGCTTCCCTGGTGGCGCAGTGGTTGAGAGTCTGCCTGCCGATGCCGCGGAGCGGCTGGGCCCGTGAGCCATGGCCGCTGAGCCTGCACGTCCAGAGCCTGTGCTCTGCAACGCGAGAGGCCACAACAGTGCGAGACCCACGTACCGCAAAAAAAAAAATATATATATATACATATATTTATATGTATATATATATATACAAAGCTACTATATGCAACTGACTATATGTAACTGGTGTATGAAAAGACAAGCTGTTCAATGGAACAGACTGAAAACCTAGAAAAGAAGAGCAGCTGCATATACTGGAATTTAGTATATGACAAAGATAGCCTCTCAGTCAGTGGAGAATACCGTGTATTTTTCAATAAATAATCTTGAGACAATGGGACAGCCTTCTGGGATAAAATAAAATATGCATATTTCACCCCATATGGCAAAACAAATTCCTGAAGAATCAAATATTTAAATATTAAAAATGACATCATGAAACTACTACAACAAACCATGGGAGAATTTTTTATTGTTATATTTGGGAGAGGCAGGCCTTTCTAAGAATGACACCGTAGCAGAAGTCATTAAAAACTTGCTTAATATGTTCAGTTACATAAATATAGAATTTTTTTTCCCATGGGAAAATAAACACCATAAGCA